GCTATGTAGACTGCCCTGGCTTCTAACAGTTCTCTTGTCTCTGCCTCCAGAGTACTATGATTTACAGGAGTAGACAGTTACACCCAAATGAAAGTACTATTTAAATAACTATTTACAACTCAGTTTGCATCAGTTTAGCTTTTCCTCTGCAATCAGTGCAAATTGGGGTGAGTAGATGAATAGATTTTGAGTTTTCTTGACTTGTTAAAATGGAACTACAATTATGATAGTCTTTTCATGTTGGGTCAACTGCAAGGTTGATGAGATCTGTTTAGTTTCCTTTTAATTTAGTAAAGGCTCTATTCTCTCTTCCTTTGCCAATTCACACTTCTTACAGAGAAAAAGGGAGACCAGCGGTTCTGTCCTTTGGCAGATGAGGAGGCAGCTTCTTCTGGAGTTGATGGGCATTCTTCCTACAGTGAGGAGTACTCGTATTGTAGAAGAAGCCGATGTGGAGATGGAGCCCACTGTGTCTGTGTACTCGGGGCTGAAGGAAGAGCATGTTGTGAAAGCCAGTGCACTCTTACGTCTATACTGTGCCTTGATGGGGATTGCTGGACTCAAGTACTCAATCTGATATTTTACCTTTTTATCTTCTTGTTTCTAATCTCAGAGAAGTGAGCCAAAGGACTTTATTAAGAGGCTCAGGCTTTTAATTTTACTAGCTTATGTCAAGATTAAAGGTGTTAAGGCCAACTGTCCTTAAGGAATATTTTGATATAGTTTCTGATTACAAATAGAATTATGCAGATATTGGAGGGATAAGAGTACTTTGTCAGTTTTTAATCATAGTGTAAAGGACTCTGCGATTTTTAACAGTTTAAAAAGATACCTGTAAGAGACCTGTGAGTGACCCACAACCACACCTAGGTCAGGTGAAGACTCCTGTTTTATAATTGACAGGACATGGTTCTTGGCACAAGATTCTAAGTCACTGCACCAAATGTTTCAGCTGGTATTGCAACATTCCTGTATGTGTCTCATGTGCCTTTCAGTTCTGACAGTTTAGTTAAGCAAATGCTGGCCCAGCAGTTTGGTTCAAATTTAAGTTGTTACAATCCATTAACTCCATAATTCTATAAAGTATGAACTGCTGTGAGTTCAGCAGGATGCATAAGTAACATGAGCTTGTCATGTCTATGACCTCTGCTTTTACTGCCTTTAAAGTCTGTTGCTCACTGAATTCTGTTTTTTTTTTTTTTTTTGTAGAGACAAAGTAATTCTGTTTCTATTTCTCAGTGATAAATCCATATGCCATTAAAATGCAGACAGTTGGAAAGAGAGAATTGACCAATAACGATGAAAGTGTAGGGTAATGGCTCAGGCTTAAGAATGCTTGCTCTTTCTATCTAACTGAATATGGAAAAAGAAAATGAAAAAAAAAAATGCTTGCTCTAGCTGGGTGGTGGTGGCGCACACCTTTAATCCCAGCACTTTGGAGGCAGAGGCAGGCGGATCTCTGTGAGTTCGAGGCCAGCCTGGTCTACAGAGTGAGATCCGTGACAGCTAGGGCTAAACCCTGTCTCAAAAAACAAAAAAAACAAAAAACAAACAAAAAAAAGGATTGCTTACTCTGCATTCATGATTACTTGCGTTTGAATCCCCAGTACTCACCTAAAAAGCTGAGCATGGCTGTACATGCCTATAACCTCACTGTTATGAGGGTAGAGATATAAGTGTCCCAGGAGCTTTCTGGTCAGCAAGTCCAGTGGGAACAGCTAGTTTCTGCATCAGTGACCCACCTTGCCTCAAGGCAATAAGACAGAGTGCCCTCCTGCATGTGTGCATAGACATGAATATCCATACATTCATGTGTACTATCATATACCACACACACACCTTATACATACAATACATATACACACCACACACACACACACACACACACACACACACACACACACACACACACACACACACACACACACACTAAGTAATTGAATGTATTTTTTTATAAGTGACATTAAAAAGTTTGTACTTGAAAGGTTAAAATGTTGGAGAATTCATTTGCTTCCTTCTGAACTAAAAGTAGATAAACAAACAAGCAAATGTAAAACCTCACTGTGTTTCCCCTTTCAGACCAACTGAAGAAGAAGCTGAACAGTTGCTGCAGTTGATGACCAGCCGCCCTCCTGCCACACCAGCTGGGGTTCGATTTGTTTCTCTCTCTTTCTGTATGCTGCTGGCCTTTTCTACACTTGTCAGGTACCTTACTATTTAAATTGCTCTACTCTTTCAAGATGTGCTTTTATTTACTTATCAAAATGTATGTATGGGGTGAGCCTGTAGTGTAGTTAGTTTGCCTAGCATGTGTGTGCTGCCACCAGAATGGGTATATAGCATGTTATTAAAAGTTTACCACATGGGTTTGAGATGGCTCAGAGGTTAAGAGCACTGACTGCTCTTCCAGAGGTCCTGAGTTCAATTCCCAACAATCACATGGTGGCTCACAACTACCTTGAATGAGATCTGGTGCCCTCTGCTGGTGTGCAGATATACATGTGTACATAATAAATAAATAAAATCTTTAAAAAAAAAAAAGTTTTACTACAGACACTGGCCGAGGCATGGACAATCATGGTCTCCTTCAATGAAGGGTGTTAGCATCTGAATGCCATCCATTGTTTAAAGGAGTCAGATCATTTTGAAGGCTGATAATTTTTCTTCCCTACTTTTCCTTCCTTGAAGGTGGTATCTTTTAGTTCTTGAGTAATTTTGGGTCTTACTAGTACATTGTTTAAAAAGTTTTAAAAATCTTTATTACCTGTTTATTTTTTGTGTTTAGTTCCTTAGGGTGTGTGTGTGTGTGTGTGTGTGTGTGTGTGTGTGGTGTGGTGTGGTGTGGTTTGTGCACTAGTGCTATGATGCATGTGTGGAGGTCAAAGGACAATTTACTGGAGTAACTTCTCTCCTACTGTGTTGGCTTCAAAGATGGAACTCTGGTTATCAGGTTGGTGGCAAATGCCTTTACCCCTTGAGTGATCTCACTGGCCCCACTACTTCATAGTTGATAATACTTTTAGGTATTAGCTAATTGAATTCCCATTTTCAAAGATGAACAATTAGTTCTTTTTGTTTTTCTCACTGTCTGTAAACACTATATATCTTCCTTTTCTTCTTTTCCTTCTATTATCCTAGCATAGTTATAATTTGTTTTGTTTTTGTTTTTTGAGACAGCATTTCTCTTTGGCTTTGGAGCCTGTCCAGGAACTCGCTCTGTAGACCAGGCTGGCCTCAAACCCACAGGGATCCGCCTGCCTCTGCCTCCCGGGTGCCAGGATTAAAGGCGTGTGCCACCGCCGCCGCCGCTGCCGCCGCTCCTGAAATCTACTACTACTACTACTACTACTACTACTACTACTACTACTACTACTACTACTACCACTACCACCACCTGCAAAACTAAATCTTGCTGGTTGTGGTAGTTCATCCCAGCCCACAGGAGACCATGAGTTTGAGGGTTGCCTAGGCTATATAATGAGACCCTGTCTCAAAAAACTAATAACAACAAAACAAAACAAACCAAAAAATCAAAACCCCTCAGACACATAAAACTGTACAACAAAGAAACAAAATGTCGCTAAATCTCCTCTGGGCCTAATCTGACTCTTCAGACAGTCTATTTGTTTAATCTTTCTCAGAAATCTTGCCCAGGGTAGTGTTGTCTGCTCCAGTCTTGTCTTGATCCCTCTGTACCTAGTGTTCTGCAGCTGTACACAGGAATTGTTCTTCATTCGAATCTTTAGAAAGCAGACATGTGGGAGGCAAATTCTTCAGAGCAGGGGTGGATTTCTGAAAATGCCTCCATTCTGACATTTGGCCAATGGTTTGATGGCATGTAGAATTCTAATCAGGAAGTAATTTCTTTTGAAGATTTTGAAAGTGTGTGTCCTGTTGATTCTAACTAAGAGTGTTGTCATGGCCTAGAATCATCCTAATTCCTGGTCCCTTTGGGTGTCATAGTCATTGTGCAAATGTGTAGGATTAGATCTTTCTCACATGGTTTTGAAATTCCTGGATGATAATTTGGTTCTTAATGTTTCTTTCTTTCTTTCTTTTTTTTTTTTTTGCTTGCTTTGTTTTGATTTTTGTTTATTTGAGACAGTCTTTCTGGCTGATATGGACCTCTCTGCTGCACTCTTGCTTCAACCCTCCAATTTTGGGATTACACTTGCATCATCACATCCTGCCCAAGTTCGTACTGATTCTTCATTCTCCACACCCAGTGGGTCCTTTCCAACTAGAAACTGATATCCTTTAGTTCTAGGAACTGTTCCTAAATTAATTTTTTGGTAAAGTCCTTCTTTGGGGTTTTTTTATGTAACAACCCTTCTTGTGTGACTTCTTTCAGAGATGATCATGGAATTTCCTTATCCCATACTCTTTTCTGTGCTTTGAAAAGCTGCCATAAAACATGTCAGCAAATTTATATAGTTGTACACTTTAGTTACCATTAAGGGTCCTTAGCATTTTAATAGTTATACAGCTGTTGCCATAATCTAATTACAGGATACTTTCACTACTCCAGGAAGAAACTGTTTCATTGTTCAGCCTTTGTCTTCATGTGCAGTGTTTAATTTCTTTTTAGTAGAAAGAGTTTATTTTGCTTCCTAATACAAGGTTGTAGTCCATCAGTATGTGACTGTAGCAGCAGCAGGAACTTGAAGAAGCTGGTCACATTCCATCCATAGCCAAGAAGCAGAGCAACAAATCCTTACACTCTGCTCACCCTGACCTTTGTATAGAGCTCAGCTGCTCCAGACTAAGGAATAATGCACTTATAATAGGTGGGCTTTCCCACTTCCATCAACTTACTCAAGATAATACCCTGAGGTATACACAAAGGCCCATCTCCCAGGTATTCTAGATTTCATAAGTTGAAAATGGAGATTAGTCATCACAATCTCACCTCTTGTCACCTTGATACCCAAATACAACATCATTTCAAATCATAACTCTCTACTCCTTATCATCAAAGTCTCATGTTCATTTCATAAATCAATATACAGTCCTACTTCAAAAGTCCCCGAAAATATCCTTTCGAGAGGGCCATGCTGATCTTATGTGATTCTTTCCAATTTTAATATATGTGCTGCCGAAGCGAGCACGGCAGTGTTTAATTTCTAAGGGTTCTCACTTTGTTCTTTCATTCTTTTCTTTATTTTCTGGAACAACTTGTATTATTGAGATTGTCCTTCAACTCCTAATTTTCCTGCTTCCACCTCCCAAGTATTGGGATTGTTTGGTGTTTGACTGTTTTTTTCTTTATAGTAGCCACTGTGTCATTGAAGGGGTACTGATATTTTCTAACACCCTTTTGTTAAAGGTTTTTTATTGCATTTATTTTATTTTGTGTGTACATGTGTATGTGTGTGGGCATCCATGTGCCATTCATGTATGTTGAGATCAGAGAACAACTTGTGGGAGTCAGTTCTTCCTCATACAGGTCCCGGGGATCAAGCTCAGCTTTGCCCCTGAGGCTTCTCTTTGGCCTAAAATTTCTTTTAATGTAATTTTAGTGCTTCTCAAGAAAGTATAATGTTAGTAAAATTAAAAGTAAGTAATGTTAGCCAGGTGGTGGTGGCACATGCCTTTAATCCCCCCACTAGGGAAGCAGAGGCAGGCGGATCTCTGTTAGTTAGTTCAAGGACAGCTTGGTTTTCAAAGTCAGTTCCAGTATAGCCAGGACTATTACACAGAGAGACCATGTCTTGAAAAACCCAAAAAAAAAAAAAAAAAAAAAAAAAAAAAATGTTGGCTATATGCTCTGGTTTTTCCTCCCCAAGGTCTTTGTAACCATTACCTCTAGTCCTCATTACTCTGTAGTGTCATACTTATTTGGTAGGAGGACTGACGTTCAGAAGGATAAACTTTTGTGTCTAAGATCACAATGAGTAATTGCACAGATGGGAGTTCCACCAGGGTCTGGCTGGTCCTTAAGGCATTCTCCTGTATAGCATTCTCCTGCTTTAGTGAAATGATTCAAGGATTGTTGATTATAGTATAATTTATAAGTATAAATGACCTTTTACATTTTCTTTGTTTGGAGTAGTGGGAAAAACACAGTTTAGTTGCTTTGTGTTTTACTTATTTTCCTGCAGTGAAATGTAAGGGCACTATGACATTTTTGCCCAAGTCCAAGTCAAAGTGTGACTTTTAGTTTTAAATCTAATAATTGTGTTAAAGAAGTTATTACTGTTTTTGGGCTGGTGAGATGTCTTAGTGGGTAAAGGCATTAGCCACCAAGCCTGATGACCTGAGTTGGATTCACATGTGACCTGATTCCTGAAAGTTGTCTTCTGACATCTATATCCATGTCATGGTGCATACACCTACTCATCTCCCTCCCCACAAATAAATAAATGGAAAAGAAAATTTAAAAAAAGTTATTACCTTTATATTTTTTATAGCCATTTCTCTGTATTGCTTTGGAGCCTGGAACTCGCTCTGTAGACCAGGCTGGCCTTGAAGTTACAGAGATCTGCCTGCCTCTGTCTCCTGAGTGTTGGAACTAAAGACTGAGCTGCCAAATCTTGCCCAGCTGATGCTTGTGTTTTAACACTAGATTTTTTTTTCCTATATGAAGTAAGTGATCAATTCTTAGTGTAGTTCTTTCAACATTTTAACCCCAGAGATCTTTGTTTTTCCAAGGAATAAGAGGGAATGTCACTGTCTCTAGATTGCAGATATAGTTATTAAGACTTGAGGAGGTTTTGACAGTTCAGATTCATGAAGCCAACGCCTTCAACTTTGAGTTCTCAAACTGTCTCATGTTTTAATTGTAATCAGTGATCCAATTTAGCAAGCCATTAATTTGAGTTTGTATTTTAAAATTGAGGAGAAAAATTATTCCTAGAAAAAATAACTTCAGGGCTGGAGACATGGCTCAGTGGTTAATAACACTTGGTACTCTTGCAGAAGACCTGGGTTCAGTTCTCAGCATCCCATCTGTAATTCTAGTTTCTGGGATCCGAGGACACCAGGCATGCACATGGTACATGTGTATACATACAGGCAAACTCCTCATAAGTTTAAAATAAGAGTAAATAAGTCTTTAAAAATAAGGGTAAAATGCTTTCAGAAGACCGTGTTCTTGGTTGCTGGATGGTTCATGGGGTGCTGCCATGGTGTCTCCACAGCACACCAGAGCAGGAGCAGCTGATGGTGGTGTGGCTCAGCTGGATGATCAAAGAAGAGGCTTACTTTGAGAGGTAAGGATGCAGCCCTGTGCTCGCTTGGGTCAGAAAGCTTTCTTATTTATTCTCGCCTTGGAAATTCATAGTTTCTTTTCTGTTTTAACAGTACATCAGGTGTCTCCGCTTCTTTTGGGGAGATGTTGTTATTGGTGGCCATGTATTTCCATAGCAACCAGCTTAGTGCTATCATTGACTTAGTCTGCTCCACCTTGGGGATGAAGGTAATTTTTAAGAATATTTTTTTCTGAAAGAAAGAGTGTCTAAACTGGACATTCTGTCATAGTAGAAAATAAATACATTGTGTTCATTTAAGCAATTTTAGTTTTTTGCTTGTTTGATGTTTTATTAAAGAATTTCTAGAAAAATAGGAATTTTTAGAACATTTATTTAAATTTTGTGTATGTATGTCTGTGTGGGCATATATACACATGTATGCAATTGCCCATAGAAGCCAGAAGAGGGAAGAGAACCTCTGGCGCTGTTGTGAGCCACCTGACATGGGTGTTAGGAACAAAATTTGTGTCCTTTTCGAGAGCAGTCCACTGGTGAGTCATCTTTCCAGCCCTCTTTGTTGTTGTTGTTGTTTGAGACAGGCTGGCCTGCAACTCATGATAGTCTGGATGGGTTTTTAATTTCCTATGTAGATTTTCTATAAACTCATTTATGTAAATATACACAAAATCACACATCTATATATTCATATACTTTCGGTCTGTTTAAGATAAAATTGTAGAATGCAGTTATTTGTGTGTAACTATGTTATTTAAGAGACTCACAAATAAAAGTGTTTGTGTGCTAAATAATGTCAGATTATTTTTTGTAGAGGTCTTCCCCATTTCACTGTTCACATTAATACACGAGAGCCCCTGGTTTCCTAAAATCTTACCATACCTAGACAGAACCATTCGTTTTAACTTTTGATTTAAATTTTTTAATTTTTTTTTATTGAGACAAGGTCTCTCTATATAATTCGGGCTGTCCTAGAACTTGGTATGTAGATCAGTTTGACCTCAAACCCATAGAGATCTACCTGCCTCTGCTTTCTGAGTGCTGGAATTAAAGGTGTGCATCACCATGCCTGACCTGCAAATTTGATTGGTAGAGAATGATCCAGCTTATTTTATGTTTTGTTGATTACTAATAAAACTAGTTTTGTTTTGTTTTGTTTTGTTTTGTTTTGTTTTTTTTGAGACAAGGTCTTGCTTTGTAGCCCAGACTGGCTCAGACTTTCATGTGATCCCCTGCCTATTCCACAGGAGTGTGGGTTTATATGTGTGAGACATAACACTCACCTTACAAGACTTTCTTTTAGTTCATTTGTGGCTTTATGCTTTACATTTAAATATTTTTATTCTTAGTACTAGTGAACAAACACAGGGCTTCACTTATACTAGGCAAGCACCCTTTCACGGAGTTATATGTACTTTAGTTCTGCATTGATTTTAAGGTTTATTCCATTCGAAGTACTTGGTGTGTAGTGTCATGTGTATAACAAAGTATATGTTTATGAAATGTATATGTTTTTTGTCTCCATTCATTGGATAAACCTCTTCTGTCCACTGGTAGTTAGTGGTAATAGCTATTAGCTAGTGCCAATAATTAGCACTACTTATTAAGTAATTTTAAACTATGTCTTATCTTTATTTTTGACAGAAGGGTTTACTATATCGCCCAGGTTGTTCCTGATCGCCTGGGTTCTAGTAATCCTCCTGCCTCATCTTCCCAGGTGTCTGAGGCAACAGGCATGCACACTAAGTATATATTACATTGGTTCTGCTTATGTGTCCCTTAATGTCATCCTTGAGAAGCCATGTGTGAAAGAAAAGTTTAACTTTTGAACATTAATATTGTGCATCATACCCATTTTGGGTAATAAATTCATGAGAGTAATTGAATTTCATACAGTTTTACATGCTGTTGGAACTCTTTTTACTATTTTAGATTGTGATTAAGCCAAGCTCCTTGAGTAGAATGAAGACTATCTTCACACAGGAAATCTTCACTGAGCAGGTACTTCCTTTTGTCCTTAGTTACTAACTAAACTACTTCAAAGAATAAAGTCGTTTTTCATGATTTCAATTTATAGTGATAATTGATTTCATCTTTAAACTCTCTGTGAATAATTCACTTAAAGTAACTTAGCTACTCTGAGTATGTGTTGAGTTTATATATTCTTGGGAACTTTGACTGGGTACTTGAGAATGTGGTTGTAGATACTGATGATGTACTCATGTGGGCTGACCATTTGGATTGCTTTGAGAAAACAGAGCCCTAGTGAAGTCTTTAGGTTGTAAAGTGTTTGTAGTTAGATTACAAGCTAGCTTCTGGTTCCTTATTCTTTTGTTTACATTTATTTGGCTTCAGTACCCTTGTCTGTGGGTAAATCCAAGAATAATTTTCTTTTCTATAAAGTATTTCTAAATGTAAAAATTAGTTCTCAAATTCATTTGCCAAATCACATATATATACACATACATATACATATATGTATACACATATACATATATGTATATGTATGTGTATGTATATGTATATATATTTCCTTCTGAGACAGATTCTTACTCTGTAGCTCTGGGTGGACTGGAACTTATTATATAGGCCAGGCTTGCTATAAACTCTCTGAACTCTGCCGTCCTCCTGAGCAGCCAACCTCCTGAGTGCTGAAATTTCAGGAGTATGCCACCAGGCCCAGCTCATGTAACTACTAGAAAAAAATTAGCCCTCAAAGCAACCCTCAACACATGTAAAAAATGATTTGAAAGGTAAGGGGGCTTCTCTAGAATACATCAGCCTAGCTACTGAGTTTTATATTTTTAACATTATCACTTGTGCATTTGTTTAGTTACTTGTTTTTAGTTGTAGTTTCTTTGGTGGTGTTGGAAATTGAACCATCGGCCTTTGTATGCTATGCT